TGGATTTCTAGCAGAAGTTGAGTCTGTCAGATTAATCTTCACTACAGCGCTAGACATTATAGGTAGTGAGGATTTAAGCATTTTTAAAAAGTAGACAAATTAAGTTGGAAGCACATGTTTTGTTTGTTTTGTTTTTTGAGACAGGGTCTTTTTGTAGCCCTATCTGTAGACCAGGCTGATCTCAGTCTCACAGAGGTTCACCTGTTTCTGCTTCCTAAATGCTGGGATTAAAGGCATGTGCTCCCATGCTTGGTGAAAGCACATGTTTTTATATGAAAGAGCACTTTTGTGCCTCTCCTTGTTTCTCAACCTATAAATAATGTCAGATACAGAGTCACATTGTTGTGAATGGTGAGAGGTTTTTTAAAATGGTATTATTTTAGTCCTGTTGTAATAGACATAGCAGATAGTGTGATGTGCTGAGAAGAGCATTTGACTTTGAGTATGTTGATGCACAACAGCACTTGGAAGGCTAAGCCAGGAAGATCATAAATTTGAGGCTAACCTAGGCTACACAGTGAGGCCCTGCCCATCCCACTCTCCTGTAAAAAAGAAAAAGGAAAAGCATTTTATTGGAATCTGGAGTTGAGGGTTCAGTCCCACTTTTGCTACTTTCTAGCTCTGATAGGGTTATCACTTAGCCCCAGAGCCTCAATTTCCCGCTTTACAAAATGAGGATAATGACTCTTGGTACTCCATAGGGCTGCTGCAAGAATCAAGTGGCAAAAATGTGTGAAAGTGCTTTGTAAAAACTACAGTGAGTTTAAATGTATGCAGTGCAGTTAGGTAAGCATACTGACAGACGAGCAAGCAGGGAGACATCAAAGGCTAAGTACCAGGGTCCTGGAGTTTGACCCAGAGTCCATATTTCTTTTTTAATAATTTATTGAGAATTTCATACATGCCCATAAGGTGTTTTGATCAAATCCACGCCCGCTCCCTCCCCTCCAACTCCTCCCATATCTCCCATCACTTTTTTCTGATAATTTCATATACTCCTTCTTTTCTTTTTTTATGGGGCTTTTGGCTACTCTAACATTCCCCGCTCTGAAGAGGTAACCCTAAAATCTTTTAAGGATTAGATAAAAGCCCCTAAATACTTTAGACATTTTTGGCCTTTGGAACAGAATATGTTGCTAAGAGGCCCAAGGACATTGTGACTTTTAGCCACGAAACTGGTTACTTTTCTCTGGGGTCTTTTTACCCTAACTACCTAGCCAGTTCCTACCTCCTATTCTTATCACACCATCCTCTGAAAAGGTTACACAACTTGCGGATAGGGAATCGGGATGCAGACCACAGAGTCCATATTTCTTAAGCGGCTTGATCATAATAGTTCTTCCTTGTTTTTTCTAGATGGTGAGAAAACAGGAGGTGCTCTGAACTGAGTAGGAGTGTAGATAATAGATGACAAATTTGCCCCAGAACTCTTCTCCTGGATTAGAGAGGGGAGGGAGGGAGGGATGTAAGGGCTTCTCTAAACTGGTTTGTTGTAGTTTGTGCCTCAGATGCCCTGTGATAAAAGGCTCTACACCCCCAGCTCCCTGTTTTTTTCTTTTTTTTACATTTCAATCTCTGCAAGCTACTTACCCACTTCTTTAAATGGTACAAAAGAAAAAACGAATTCAAAAGCCCTAAACCCCAGTCTTGATAACCCTCTTCCTTGGTGAAGGAATTACAAGAGTCTCCTATGGCGAGCTCACTGAAACACTCCTTGGGTAGCTGTTGAAAGGGGATGTCAAGAACCTTGTGAGTTTAAAGCATTTCAGCTTTCCCCGGCACAAGCAGGCCCCTAATGGAACCCAGACATCTGCTGTAGTTATTTAATGGCCCTTGAGCTGGTAACAACTGTAATGGAAGCTAAATAGAGTGACGGTGCCAGCCATTTCTCTACCAGACCTGAACTGGGGCTGGTGGAGACTTGATTTTAGAAGTGTAGATATTTCACTTTGGGAAGAATAAATGGTTTGTCTTCCTTGAATAAAAATAACGATTGATTGTGGTTTTTGAAGACCAGAAAGAAGAAAGTTTAATTTGTCCTTTGTTATAAGGAGGCCACTTACTAATTCACTAGAGAGAGAGCATTCAGAAGAAAATGTGCTATCAGTTTTTGGCTGATACTTCAAATGTGGATTTCTCTTTTAGTTAAATAGCATACCTTTCCTCTGTGTGTGTGTGTGTGTGTGTGCGTGCGCGCACACGCGCGCGCACACCTGCCTATAAAATTTGTACAGAAATCTGTTAAGGGAGATTTAAACAGGGTTTTTTAAATTTTATGTGATGAAGTATATTAATGACCATCAAATGCATTGTCTCTAAAGTAGTAATTTATTATATACCTTAATGGGATTTGTTTGTTTGTTTGTTTTGTCTTTTTGAGACAGGGTCTCCCTGTACCCCCAGCTGTCCTGGGACTCACTATGTAGACCAGACTGGCCTTGAACTCACAGAGATCCGCCTGCCTCTGCCTCCCAAGTGCTGGGATTAAAGGCATGTGCCACCACACCCGGCACCTTAATGGGATATTTTAAAGGAGATTGATTTGAGAGACATTTTTTTTTAACTAAAAAGTTCAGGCTGGTCTAGGCGTGGTGGTGCATGCCTTTGATCCCAGCACCTCGGAGGTAGAGGCAGGCGGATCGCCTGTGAGTCCAAGGCCAGCCTGGTCTACATAGTGAGTTTCAAGCCAGCTCTGGGGCTACAGGAAGACCCTGTCTCAAGAAAAAGGCAAAAAAAAAAAAAAAAAAAAGTTCAGGCTAGATACAGTGACAGCACACCTTTAATCTCAACACTTGGGTGGCAGAGGCAAGTAGATCTCAAAGCCAGCCTGGTCTACATAGCATGTTCCAGACCAGCCAGCCACTTCAATAATGAGACCCTGTCTCAAACTAAATTTTTAAAGTTTAGGGTCTGGAGAGATGGCTCAACAATTAAGAGCACTGGCTGCTTTTGTAGAGGACCTGGGTTCGGTTCCCAGCACCCACATGGCGGCTAACAACTGTTAATAACTTCAGTTCTAGGGGATCTGACACTTTTTTCTGGCCTTCATGGGCACTGCATGTCTGTGATACACTTATATACATTCAGGCAAACACGTAAATAAAAATTAATACATAAAAATAAAGTTTGGGCTGGCAGAATAGCCCAACAGGTAAAAGCAGTCCCCATGCTAGCCTGATACTTGATGGTGGAAGGAGAGAACCAACTCCTGAAAGTCATCCTCTGACCTCCACTCACATCCGCTGGCATGAATGTGTACCCTATACTCACATCATATACGCAATAATAAAGAAAATTATAGCTGGGTATAACATACCTGTAATCTCAGCACTTAACCTAGAAGGCTAAGGCAGGAAGATCACCTAGGCTGTACATAGTGAGAACCTCTGAAAAGAACACAATGTAGACAATAGAAAAAATTACTGAGTTTTCTTGAAAATAAGCCAGATCAAATGACCTCAGGGCAAGAGAGGAAATATTCTAAGGATTGGGGGGAAGCGGGGTGGTTGGCCCTGGATGACTTCCATCTTGCTTTAGAATAAATTCTCTCGGGCTGGAGAGATGTCTCAGTAGTTAAGAGCACTGACTGCTCTTGCAGAGGACCCGGGTTCCATTCCCAGCACCCATATGGCAACTACAAACTGTCCCTAACTCCAGGTCCAGGGGAATCTGAAGCTCTCTTCTGACCTCCACGGCATTGCACGACACGGGTGTACATACATACATGCAGGCAATACACTCATACATATAAAATAAAAATAATAAAATATTTTTTAAAAACGAATGAATTCTGCTCTCAACAGAATTAACTAATAGTCCAACTTTCTTAAAGATGCTCTTAAATTTGGAAGGTTGGTTTAAAGGCACATTATCAGTCTCACTTCCCCTTAATTAAGGATCCTAGCTTCCCAATACCTGTTATTCCTAGCTTGCCCTTGCTTTGTTATTTCTTTAGACTGGTTTGCTGTTTGCCAGCAGAGGGTCATGTGGCCCCATGATGATTAATGGAACAGCTCTGTCCACAGTGAAATGCTTCTCTGGAGAGCTAGCTCCTGGGGTGTGCAGCTCTGTCTACTCCAGGTGTTATGGACTCATGTATGCATACACTGGTAAAAGAGGTGGCATGGTGGACAGTGTGTGCTTTCAGTGAATCAGACAAGCATCCTCTCACACAAAAAAGCAGCTTTAATCACACCCTATTTTAAATGTTAAAAGATGCCTCAAGTCACAAGATCTTTCATTATTCATTTTTTAGCATTTGGAGACCCCTTTGGGAGAATTCAGAATGTAATTTCATGTTTAAATTGCTTTATGGTAAAGATTGGAAAATATCCACTAGGAGAAGCCAGATGGAGAGGGGAGGGGTAGGTAGCTCTCCTCTATTTCTGCCATTAGGTACTTCTCTGCTTCTGTAACAAAGGCAGAATCCTAGAGTTTAAAGGTGAATAGTATGTGTAGTTTTAGATTGAAGCCTAA